TTTCTATTAACTATTAAATTTACGAAATAGTCACTATCTCGAAACGCGAGGAAGGATACGTGGGCTGAGCACAGACGGGCGTTTTTTTAAAGAAACGTGACGGTGAAAATTATTTTTGGACGGTGACGAAAAATTTTCTGAATTTCAACCTTAATATCTTGAGAACAGTCGTACGTCTGGACGGCGTGGATTGATTAAGCGTTTCGTAATAAAACGATTTTCGTCGGCGTAAAAATGCAGTATGCTATGCGGTTAGTAAAACCAGTTCTTTGATGCGCGTCTTCGTATCTCCCATTCCTTGTTAGTGCGCCGTGACCGTACGTGCATGCATATGTTTGCTCAAGGCGTTCTGTGCTTGTTTTATCTGCACCCCATATCGAAATCCGGTATATCGAGATTGCAGTAAACGAAAAGGCATTTTACACTTCTTCGTCAGTTTAGCATGGGGCAGACGTACACTGGGTGTGAAATAGCGTCGCAGGTTGTCGAATAAAACGGCAATCGAGGAGAGCTGGACGTAGTGTCACGGTTTATTTGAATCGTATGTGTACGTACATGTATACGCTGTCCCTTGACAAGAAGATTGTTCCACCAACCATTATATATTTATGACGTGTAAATGTGTTAAGGGCATTAAGCAGAATCCAGTTCCACTGGTTTCACTGTCTACCCTTCCGGCGTGGGGGATTCGTATGTTGGGAATCACGTTGGTAGCCATCTATCAATCGGGATGCAGAAACGTGCCTTTCCTCGCGGCGCTCCGCGCATCCTTATTTATGGCGGAATAATCGACTCGTAATTATAGACTCTGTAACGAAAACGACCTTCTGCTTATCTAAACAGGGGCTACGACGTCGAATCGTGCGCTCGCGGATCTCGAGTATTTCGGAAATAACCCGCACAACTGTTCATTTCGCGCATCAATTGCATGTCTATTCGCATTTGCCCCTCATCGGATGATAGCTACTTATCTCGGACCCGAAGAGATTCCCACTTATATCAAGGCTGACCTATATGCTTGCGTGATTTTGCCGACAGCAAGGACGTATTTCGAGTTATTTTTCCAACTTCCGAAACAGAGAATGTAGCGTAAAGAAGACGTAAAAAACACAACTGTAAAAAATGCTGGTGTGTTGGCAGATTTATAAAAATATTTGATTTCTTTATTATTTATAAAAATCATTAAATTTTCACTAGATCAAAACAATTTTCTCTTCATATATCTTTAATAAAAATTAAAATAATAAAGACTATGAAGAATTTGAGATATGTCTATTTTCTTAATATTTAACGAATAGAAGATATATCGAGATAAAAACTTGCACGCTATATTTGATACAACAAACAAAGCGGAAGAGAGGAAATATTAATAAATAAAAATTAAAATTAAAATTCCAGATATCATAAATTACGATTTTTTGTCATTGATATGCTTTAAAGAAAATTCATTGTTTTTTTTCGCAAGTGCTTTTATATTATTAGTTTTGTTTATTGAAAGAGAATTATTGATGCATAATTATAGTTTCTATAAGAATAAGGCTATTTTTCTCCATTTATCTAATCATCTAATTTCTTTTGAAGTGTGTATGTACTTTCTTTCTCTCTTATTTCCTCCTGATTATCTGCATGTTAATCGGCAATCAACTATAATAATTATTTGCGCAATGATAATCCGTTTAGATCTAGTTATTATAATCACGCGAGCTCTACATAAATTATTCATAAAATTAAGCTGTGACTTACATTACATATCCATGCATACATACATGATTTCAATCTTACTAAAATATATGTGTATTAAAAAACTTTAAATTTTATTGAAAAAACGTATTTAGTAAAATTTTTATTGATCAATGAATTTTATATTATTGAGATAATAGGTGTAACAAAGATTTTGTTGATTACTTGCGCATTAAAATAATATAATGTAGAAAAATGTAAAGACTATCAATATACATAGTAAATTGTAGCAATTTTTTTTGTATGTGCAATTTTTAAATCAGATTCTCTCTTATTCGATTCTTTAATTATTGACAATAGTTTATTTGTTGAATGCTCGAATGTTTATTTCTCAGCAGCCGACTTGAAAGGCGTGGCAACAACATTTGAACGAAGTCTAAACAGACTGTCTCATGTCAATGAACACACATTATTCTCGACAAATTAATTATTTTCTTTTCAAAGTAGTTTAGTATCTGAATGTAACTTTGTGATTTCAAGCAATATTTTCTTGTACTTTCCATAATCATTTAAAATTTATTACCGTTGACTGAAATTGCTGAGATGAATGGACAAAGAGATAACTTTTATAAAAGAAAAGGCCTCCGCAAAAGAAAAATATATTCTGACCCAGATACACAATTGAAAATGTCAATTTTGTCGGCAAGACCAAGGGATGCGAAGAAAAATTCAAAGATACAGCTCGTAAGTCAATAGTGCGCTTGATAACTATTTCCAGCATGTGTCTAATTGTATGGACCATCGCATTCCATGCATTCGCACAAGATTTACGATTACTTGACTTTCACTCTTTGCTCCACAACAATTACTCTCGCGTTAGGAGAATTTACAATGGCATCACTCACTATGGATCATTATTATTATTACTATCTTGTCTTATTTACTCAATGTTCCGCGGAGTAAAATTTTTCAGTATTTATATTTCATCTGCTCGAGACGAAGAGATAAAATCTATTTTCCATTACACTCTCATTAATCATCGGCGATATCGCCGCATTAATTATAATACGCCAACGTTCTTAGATTTCTGCATCGCTGTTGAAACATACGCTTCGCGGTTTAAGCTAAAATTCTTCCCTAATCGAAAATTGATTGAATTTTTCAAGATTATCTACATGTTATACATACAATTTTGATATCGCATTCATATCTCTCTAATATCTGAAGTATATTAAGCGGCACGCGCGCGCTTCTCGCGAGATGAAGCTTACGCGAAATAATCTCAAGGGGCGGGAGAGAAGGGAGAAAAGGGGGGGCGCGTAAGATGAGGGTAAAAGGATGCTACATTAACCAGGCGGACAATCTCGATGCGAGCGATCGGGAGAGAGGAAGCCGAAACATGTACAAGAAAGATCCGAGCGTTTAGGGGGGTACAAGGGGGCAAAAGGGGGGGAGAGGGGGCCCGAGCCGAACGGACCGAGGCCTTCGGTTCGAGCTAACCCGAGAGAGGACCAGAAGGAGAGAAGGCAACCCTCTTGCCTCTCTCCCCCTCCCTCCCTCCCTTCATCCTCCCGCGCGCCTTACAATGCAGCCTGATTTATGGCCCCGGGCGCACATACATAGAGTTACACACGATATCATAATACCATTAATTCTTCGTCAAATTCCCCGCTGACTGAATCATACTGGCCGCGCAGTAAATCACGCGGGGCGACTAATGTGAGCGCGACCAGCGCGCGCAGCGCGCGCTGTTTTATCTTCTTTGAGCCACGGGGGCAGGTGAATCCTCTAAGTCTCGGGCGCTGAATTACCGTTACACCCGTTTCCTGGCTCTGGCCCTGGCCCTGGCCGCACCCCCGCGCGCAGCCTTTCGGCCGAAATCGCGAGCGTATATATCGCGATTGGGATTCCGCGCAGGACGCGTTCGGTACGTCGGCAGTTTTTGACGCGCTCATCGAGGCACTTAGCCGAGAGATTGGATTTATGTAAGCGCTATTTGCTCGCTCGAGGAATTATTAACCAGCAAAAGTCCTTGTTTCTTTGTCCGGTGTACTCTTTGTTCGCTTTTTCTTGCTACGTCGTAAGAACGATGGCGCGGCAATATTGTGCGCATATGATTTCAATACATTTTGCATTTCGATATTTTATTCACTCAATTAATATTTGCTCAACTATTATTTAAATATTAATATTTGTCGCAAAATCTTTCGCATCTTTCAATCAAAATCAGATAATTATATCAAGTGCGTTGAATTTTTTTTACATGATTTAATTACATTTAATTAACTTTTGCGATGATGATAGCTTTATTTTCAATAACATATTCTTGGATGCGAAAGCATTTTGCAATCAGTAATAATTTCTAACGTTATTTATGCGTGAGCTCTTTCTATAATTTTTCCATCCATCTTTTTCTATAATTTAGTATAATTTTTAGATCATTTTCATAAAAAAGCAAGATATTCTTTCTCTCTTCCTGTATTGAGCAAGTTTATCTATTAGTCTTTGAATATGCATTAGTCTCTAATTAATTAACTCTATAATTATCACGCGATATTTCTGATGTATGTATAATGCATATCATTTATTTCTAGGCAATATTTATGCAATCTACTTTTTTTCACAAATAGTACTTTGTTAATTGTTTCTCTTATGCAACGATTAGTTAATTTTAACTGTAATTGAACAATGCGAGTTATTTATATAACTCGATGTATCTTTTTCTTAATCTTTTCCTAATATTTTTGCACAGAAACTACGTTAGAAGAACGCGTTACGCAACTTAACGTCATGCTGTTTGTGATGAAAAATAAATATCTACATATATGTATATATAAACAGATAGAATTTGCTCTTAAAGTCAAGCGATGTTTTTTTTAAAAGTCAAGATTTATATTCCTGTTTATATAGCACTAAAATATACAAAACGTAACGTATGAGGAGAGATTGCCGTTATTAAAATTCGATAGATTTATATAAAAGCTATAAATCGCATATATATTAGCTAATAATTTATTTTTATGCTTTTAATAGACGAGTTTTGGATGTGAAACAGAATAATTATATGCGCTCGCAATAATATATTAGCCAAAATATCAAATCATATGTCAGAATCAAGTTTAATTTTAAAATGAAACAAGATTAAGTGTCTAAAATTTTATTCCAAGTAATTCTTTTTAATTAAGTAATTTGTTTCGCTTCCACTCGAGGACGAGGAGACGGAAAACGTGAATAAATCAATGAAAGTCTCTCCATTTTTGAAATAATAACTAGACTTGAAAGATACGTACATTAAAATATATATGTGAAAAACGACTTACTCTGACCAATGTGAACCCTTTTCATCCAGGGATATATTTGTGGCGGGTTACTGCCAGAGGGGTTGCCCTTGTTGGACGAATTGTTACCCGTGCTCGATGTGCTGGACGTGGAGGAAGCGGGCGACGAAGCGGAAGATGCCGTTGTAAGCGTCGAATTTCCCTCGCCGACACCCCTCGAGCTACCACTCGGCGGTGAAGCAGCGGACGCGGCTACGGACGACCTTGACGAGCTGCCGGGCGGAGAAGTCAGGCCCGATGCGGCTTTACTCGTCCCAGGCGCGACTTGCAAGGGCGTCGGGCTGTTTCTCGAAGTGGACGTGGTCAGATCTTGCGGGGAGGCCACGCTGGTGGAGGACGTCGAATCGGCGTATTTACAGCTGGACGTTGACGGGGCTGACGGTGCCGATGCGCCCTGCAATAGCGGTGTCGTCGGGTCCGCGTGCAACTGTTGCTGAGGATGATGCGGTTGCTGAGGATGATGCTGCGTCTGCTGAGCGTGCATCCCGTGTTGCTGCGACGTCGTGGTCGCGTTCAGTCGCGGTTGCGGTTGCAATTGGGTATAGTCTATCATCCCGGTCGGCGCTGTATGCTGCATCCCCGAGGCCGGCGTGGCATAGGGATGCTGAGGATAATGCTGTTGCGGTGAGTAACAGGGCGCGGGATAGCTGGTGGACGCCGCATTCGGATTGTAATATTCGCCACCGGCCGGCGATGCCGCCTGCATCGGTTCTCCAGGCGAATTCGGCGTCGGTCTCGGCTGCTGCTGTGGCTGTTGACCCGCGTAGCATGATGCGAGCGAGCTGACGAACTGATAGGAACTCATTCTCTCCACCTTGTACCTTCCACCTATCGTCAACTGTCACTGTACCGATACTCTTGCACGTCTATGTTCCGTCATTCACGAGCGAAAACACCAATGACGTCGCGTTCGATCGATCGAGACGTGATTAAACAACGCGCGTACGCCGTCATTAAGTATAGAACCCCATATCATCACATCGATGACTCTTGTGCGTGACGAGAACGTTCGCGCGACATACGCGGCCGGTTCCTTTGACACCTTGTTCGTCGAACGATTCACAGCTATCACGACTCGCTACACGTGGAGAAACACGTCCCGGAACGATTCGATAATGAACGAGGGGTTCGAGACTAATAGAGAGAGGCGGTAGACGAGCGGCGGCAGGCGGGTCGAGCCTGAATCCGACCTGCGAGTCAAGTTTACGAGGGCCACGTGGGCCTGGGCTATAAAACTGTCTTCTGCTTCTTTACGACCTCGGCAGTCGCGATTACCTACAGAGAACTTGTGGGCCCACCGTGCAGTAGCGCGTAACAAACGGCTTATCGAGGTGTCCCATTGATGACGACTTTGTAAAGTGCCGAATGTATTACGAGGGTATTCAAAACACCTCGTACAAAGCGCGCGTTCAAATTATTCGCGCGGCAATTAATTGCGCTCCGATGTCACAGATGGTTCACTTAACGATAGACGACTTCTATATCGCGGTATACTCGTATACCCGCGGATCACCACGGCAGAGGGTGAAGAGTATATCGCGCGAGCGTTCGCCGTTCCTGTTGCGTGCGCGAAGGGTGACTGCTATCGTACTGAAGGCCCTCGTCACGATCCAACGGAAGACCGGTGTGTGCGGTAGCTTGTCACGTGCCCGCGCTCTCTGCGTGTCAGAGGAGCGCCTCGACCAATCCCTGCCGTTCGTCAAACCTTGATTGGTCTTTCCGTCGGCGTACGATTCTTCAACCCCGTTCCTTGCGTCTCCGTCGAGTCTCCGCTGCCGCTGGCGCTCGTCGTGTGGTGGTGTTGCCTGGCTGCTACCCGACGTGACAGGAACCGATGAGAGGGGTGTGCGTAAGAGAGAGAAAGAGGGCGAGAGAGGGGTCAAGGAGAGGGGATAGCACCGTCAGGGGGGCTAATGGAGAGATATTCGGGAGTTCTGAAAACCGCTGGTGGGGGAGAAGTATCTCGATCGCTCTCTCGTTCTCCTCTGCAGCCTTCTAGCCGCGACGTCACCAAGAAGCAGTCTTGCGTCCGCTCTGCGAGGGGGGCTACGCGCGCACGCGCCCCCTACTGTATAACCTCGCGGTGAAGACGGATGAAAAAGAAAAGGGGTGGCACACACGAAAGCGCGATTGTTCTTTACCGATCGACCGAAAACTATTCACCCATTTCATTTATCGCCGTACCGCCGTCGACTTCATCCTCGATCGTGAATTCATCTCACCTCGATCATACGTATCTCTACTCGCGTAGGGGGTAGAGGAATGATACGTGAGTCTCAAAAGTGCCAATTGCGGGCATAACGTAATATTATTCGCGGGGTCGGCGATACGAGCGAGCGAGTAGAGCATTCACTTCCGTATCTTCTCGAGGCTGCGGAGATCTTGTGCGTCTGATCTTTCGTTAAAAGGCTCGCGATAGAATCGTGATCGTCGCGCGACAGGCACAGATCCAACCTGGAAGCGTGTGGTTCTCCAACCGCGACTAAGGAAGGGGCGCACATAAGTCAGCCCGGTGGTCGCGGCTGACAGTTTTATGAGAGTTTGATAGTCTTCGCTCGCTCGCTCCTCTTTTCACGAAAGGACAGGATGTTTGCGCGAGAGAAAGAGCGGCCTAGAACGGGAAAGAAAGCCATAAAGGGAGGAAAAGAAAAAGAGAAAGAGAGAGAGAGAGACACGCGCACTACGCACCACACTCTTTATTGTCCCATAAATTCAAACCTGTTGCCTGTAGTCGAGAAAGACAAGGAGGGAAGAGGGTGCACGGGGTAGAATCCTCTCCCAATCGCGATTCGATTGACGCCCCCGTTATCGTTCGTACGGCGAACCCGGACGCAACTCGTAACTCACTGAGCCGACCGAGAGGAGAGCCTTCGGAGTTGGCGGCTCTAACCAGAAGCATGTGTGACGTAGTAGCCAGTTGGTCAAACGGGGGGCAATCCGGGGTAGCAACGGAGGGGACGGCTGAGGAGGCGGAGCTCTCTTTACTCGTCGCGCAGATAAGATTTTAAACAAGTTCTTTACGACGTTAAGCAAAATTTCTTCGACATATTCTACAACAATATGTATTTCCCATATTTTCTCTATTTTCTCGCGCGCGCGTCATTAATTTGCGTATAGTTTTTACCTTTACTTTTTCCAAAATTCCCCTTCCTATTCCTAGTTCTCATCGATATTGTAATTATTCAAGTAACAAATCTTATAAAAAGGTAACATAATTACAAATTAAAATAATCAAAATCTAGGTGTTTCAATCGTTCTACGCACATGTTTCTCTCATTTGTCTTTAATGTTTCTATCATACTGACTTATGGAGAGCGTTCAATTTGCGGCAATTAGCAATTTGAAAGGAAGAAGAGAGTTTTGAGTAGAAGCCGATAGTGTGGCAGTTGCTCGCCAGATGTGGCGAGTGCGGCCGTTCTCGTTGAATTGTGGCGCGCGCCCGCCCCCGGTCGTCCTACCCTTTCCCTCTTCTTCTCCCCACTTAATCGTCTACCCCCTCCGTTCAGACGAAACTGGCTATCTTTTCCACTTTGAGTCGTCGCATCTGTATACGTACGCGGCCGCATAGCCCCCCCACTCGCACCATGGCATTCGCCACTTCAGAGTCCGCGCTGTTTGTCCTACACCTACTATCACTTTAGACCTCTTCTTTCGCGCGGCTGATGAAAAATCGTGATCCAAGGACCGCTAAACGGTGGACCAAAGCTATTACGAAACTCAACGATCAGTATGTAACTGTATCCATATGCGTCATTGCATTTTTGAAGACTATTACTTACTTATGAAACACACGAATGACCTTAGTCTCTATTTCGATAAAAAATATCGAAATATATTTTATTATCGCGGGCTTATTGTATCTTATTTTAATTAATTATATCATCGAAATTAGAAAGAAAGAAGGAAGATGGGAACAATATGTAATAGTTTATTTTTAAAACTTTTGAAATATATTTAATCGAAGTCGAGAAACAAAATGTATTTCGATTTAACGTTGACGATGATGAAGATTCTGCTCGACAAGAGGTAGGACCTGACCAGCCTATTTCGGTCGATCCGAGGCGCATCGCCTTCAAGTCTCGTGTCACTCTCTTCGCGGTGGACCCTCTCCATTAGAATTTCCAATAAAGCTGTCGCAGGTGTAAAAAACGTATCAAGACCCCCATGAATCATGCGTCGCAAAGCGGAGCCGCCAAGACACGTGTATCTGTTATGCTTTCTCTCGGTAATTCGCAGGATGGTTTATGCACCCGTACGCCTCCCTCCTCTCTCTCTCTCTCTCTCTCTCTCTCTCTCTCTTTTCTACTATAATCTACCCCACCATCATCCATTCAGTGTCAACGGGTCGATGACTCCGTCGAAGCAATTATTATCATTGAAATTAGGTTTCAATCATATACGAGAAGAATGATTCGAGTCATCTATAAATGTTCGACCTCCGGGCAATTGCAAATTAATAATGTGACGTCACAAATAAATAAGTCGAATAGTAAGAAGTCTAATATCGATTCTCTCTAGGTGGCTGATACTATCGCTTACATTATTTTGCGTCAATGTCACACACGTGGGTTTATAAAGATTGCTCGTGACAGGACTTTCCCGTCGGAGAGCCATATAATCTGTGTCATCATCCGTTCAATAATCACGAATTTAATGGATCGAACCGAGGCAATTGTAATTATCAAATTAAGATTCCGAAGCATCCGTAACCGGTTTACGCACAGTTCTCTGCGCGATACGCGCTATGAATTGATAATGCATCGCAGCTAATACAAAGGTAGATTATATATTTGTTCAATTAAAAAATATATATGATGTAAAACGATTTGCGCGTAAGGGCATAAAAATAAATTTTAAAAACAAAATACATACATATAGACAAGAGTAAAAATGTAATTGATATGATGATATAATGATATTGAGCATATTTTCGCATGTACATACGTGTGAAATTTATCAATTTTAGGATTAGCAGATTATTCTGGCAATTTATATTCGATAATTAATAATATTTTACGTACATATTTATGCAGTGAAGAAAAAGCATTCGGACATTCAAGATTTAAATCTCGACATTAAATCCCAATTCTAATGAATATTCAAATAATCGAATACTAGATGATATAAGAGGTTTAATTAAAATTATGTTAATAGAGTGCAAATTTGCAATTATAATTAATGTGAAATATCATAATGTAAAATAACTCAAAATTTATAATTTTATATTAGTTGGGAGAATAAGTTTGCATTCCTCTCATCTCTTGTAAATCAAGTGGCCCGTGTATGTGTGCTTGTACGTGTATGTACATTTGTATGTAAATTTATAACAGATTATTTAATTATTACGTATATTTTTTTATCTTTCTCTTTTTTCCTCTCTCTCTCTTTCTTCTCTTCTAAAATTTTTCACAGTACGCGAAAACAAATTTTACGCAAGAGGATTGGCAGAGAAAAAAATATATTCAATTCGAGGTTCACAGCTAAGACGCGTTGCACAAAAACCAATACGTATCCGCGTGCCGGCCATGATGGATTGTCGGAGCTATGGGAAACTATCTGTCAAGCACAATATCGACCCTCGCTTTCTCTGTCCAACCCCTGCAAACTCGGGGTTCACTCTCGTTGCCGCCGTCCCTCCTGGGGGTGCGTTCTGCAATGTAGGTTTACCTACACATTGCCATACAAACCTTTCTCAGCCCCCTGTTTCCATCCTCTTCCCCCTCTCTTTTCGTTTTCGCCCAAATCTTCGACCATTTCGCGAACAACCTATCTTCTCCTTTATAAGTTCTTTTGTTTGCCTGAGAATGCATCCTAGTGCAACGCTTGTAAAACTATTGTAATATTCAAAGCTTCCAAGAAAATTAAAAATAATTTCACGCTCATATATATAAATACACATTTACTGCGACTCCTTCTAATATATATGCATATATATCTTGTATATTATTTATTATATTTAAAAAATAATATAAATTAAAACAAATTTTTTAAATAATGTATATTAATTAAGACACATTAGGATTGGAGTTTGGGAAGGAAACCAGATAACACAAATGCATAATTGTATTTCTGCTCATAACCCTGGGTGAACATCAGTTTTTGCAGGTATCCAGATGTTTATGCGTGTACTAGTGGAAATATAATTGAATAATAAGCAAATCGATATTAGACCATAAGTAAATCAGTCCTAGCAAAATATGTGACAATTAAATTAACATGTCATTTACAAATTAATAATTTGATAATTCATTATTTGAAAATATCATATTAGTATATAAGTATTTATTTATATGTCAGGTTTGCAAAATCTCGGTAGTTATCTGATTGGGTTAAGCAAGCAATTTGTTTATTTGTTATATTACTGGTTTCTTTTTTAAACTCTAATCTTAATATACTTACGTAATTTTTATAATAATTAATGTATAAGATATATATTATAACTTTAAAATTAACATTTTTTAATTATATATGTATATATAATTAAATATGTATTTAATATTATGTATATAAATATATGTATATATTATATATATGTATATATAATTAAATATGTATTTAATTATATATGTATATATAATTAAAATTTATATTACAATTTTCCAGAAAAATTAAAATTTTTAATTAAATAATAATTGCCATAAAATATATTAGGAGTGTTTAACATTAAATGTAAACAAAACAGTTATTCCATATATTAATTCTAATGTAAGAAAAATAAAATTTTTCAAAGATGGATTGGATATTTTCAAATTTATGGTTAAAAAATAATATTTCTAGTAGTATACATAGTTGCATAAGATTAGAGACGCAACTAACTTACCATTCGACAAGCTTAAAATCTTAGAATTTGGGAGATGAATAGAGAAAGAAAAAGAAAGAGAGACAGAGAGAAAGAGAGAGAGACAGAGGAAGGAAAGGAAGAAGATGTGGAGTGGGGAGGATAGCTATGCAGCTGCGCTGTTCACACGGAACAAGATGGTTGAAAGCGTGAAACGTGCGTGGATAGGCGTCCTTCTTTTTTAACATTTTAAGTGGTTTTTTTTTTTCAAAACAATGATTCTTTTTTCCGAATTTTGTTATACTGTGTTTCATATATACAAAATAATATAATAGTTCTATATTATAAAAGTTCAAGAGCTTTCTATTTGAAGAGTGTGCAGTTATAAATAATTACAAAGAGAGAGAGAGGGGGGGGGGGAGAGTAAATATTGATGATGAGTCATAGCTGTATATACATAATATACCATTAATATTTAACTATGCAAGCTTCTTCAGTATGGTGCAAGATAAATAAAAAGCGCAGTATGTATTGTGATGTTTGTACTTTTTATTTTGTGTGTTGTGTCACAAATTTTAATGAATTACTTAATTATATTTTATTATATAATATACTATAACATATTATAACATATTTTATATATATATAAATATATATATATATATATATATATATATATATATAGAGTTACGTTTATAACAAAGTTTTTCAAAGAAATTTTTAATCTAAATGTATGGGAATAAAAATGTTAAATGTTATTCGTAAATAAAAATTATGTCAATTATTCCATGAGATTGAAGATAAAAAGTATAAAGAAATAAAAGATATGAATTTGCATGAAATTTGTTGTTCGTTCATGTTTGATGTTAATTAATTCAAAATTACAATTTATTTGACATATATCACAATCATACAATCATATCAATATATCATCATATCAATCTATTAATACATTGACTATAATATTTATTAGAAAGATTAAAATTTACGAAAGATTAAAATTTAATTTTTTAATGAAATGAATAATATTAAAATGAAGTGAGCAAAAAATAGTCAAAAAAACTAATCAAATTATTAATCCGGTTTCCAGTATAAATGTAAAATTTATCACTATTTCTCGTATTGAATATTTAAAAAAATTTTTTTACATTTTTTTATGATAAATATACTTCTATGAAATTTATTTCGTTGAAACCAAAGAATATTATTATTATTATTAATGACATAATTATTAAAGAAATAATTATTAAATATAATTATTTCTAATTAATAATTAAATAATTTTGTTTCTAATTGTATAAATTGTTTTTTGTACATTATCAAAATTTATAATAAAATTTTTTCGGCATGCGTACATAAATGAAATAGAAGCATGTTCTTTTTACAAAAGAAACATGTTCTCTTCATTTATCTACTATTACTTGTATTATATAAAACAGATTCAATTTCTAAGAAATAATCTTTAGTAAATTTTAATAAATTAAAATAAGAAATAATAATTTTTTCTAAAATTACTATTCTTTTTATTTAATTTTTTTGTCATTTTCTCTTTATTTGATCAATAGAAAAAATATGTAAGTTAAGAAAAGCGTTTCAAAGAATATTTTTCTTCAAATGCAATTTTCAATTTGATTATGTACATTAATCAAACATTAATTAATCGGAATCTTAACTTTGATTTTCTGTTTTAGATTTCAAAAATATTGGCTTTTTTAAGATTAGATAATTACATTAATGATTATAAGCAAACAAATTACGCCATTTTTTTCTATTTGATCGAATGAAGAGAAAATGACACAGAAAATTAAAGAGAAAGAAATTAGTTTATCTATATATTACTGTTAGTTTATTTATATATTACTATTTTATTATCAACATTTTTTTAGTCTCCTTTCTGCTCGTTATCCATTGCATGTAAAGCAAGCGTATTAGCACAGAATTTAATTTTTAATTTTCCCAGACCGGAGTGATTATTATATACATATATATTTATTTATGTACAATTTTAATATATATATGTATATATATGTATATGTATATAGCTATAAGTATATATACAATATTAATAAAATATAAATCATGTACATATCTCTTTAACTTGTTATTATACATAGCTGTATCATTTCATTATTATTTACAAATTATTCACATTACACAATGATTTAGTAATATACAATTAATTTTGTGCGTATAATAATTTTTTATATTAATGTCATTTTCAAATATGAAATTTCTTTATAGGATGAATAATAATATTTGCATTTAATAAAAACGAGATATGCATGATATTTTAATTTAGTCAGTTATATAAACTTTTAAACAAAAAAATATAAACGGTTCTAAAATACAGCTAATATACCTAATAAGTTAAGCGATAGCGAGCTGCCAAATGTGAATATTGTCATTAATCAAATTGTTTGTGAATTTTGCATTATGTGTCCAAATATTTTCGAGAATGACGTGTGCAAATATTTCCCCGTAAAATGTAATGTTATTAAAAGAATGTTTCGAAGAAAATGCAGTGTGAACGGCCGAGCTTTTTTGATACCTGAGTTGTAGAACGCTCGTTGTTTCGCTCGACTATAAATCATAGTGATGCAAGGTCAGCTGCCCCGATCTCGGTCGTCGCGGCATTCCCTCTTTACGAACCGGCGTGAAGGACCAACTGTGTTCCGAGTTCGACATACTGCGTTTCTGAAGGTTACTTCGAATGACTTCAAAACGCCGACGTAAGTCTTACCTGGCTACATTGTCATCCTTATTGCAACAGTTCCCTAAGTAATCATTGAATATTGAATTTTATGAAGTGCAAAAAGTCCAGCATGGGTGTTATATTAATCTCTAGATATGAATATTATCGTATTAATAAATTATTACTATTTAATAATTATGTGATTTCGTCTTTCCTTGTCTATTATAGGTGAACGCGTTCAACAATATCTGCCAAGAGTTTTTTATTAATGGTGTTTAAAGAATTATAATTTATTTATTAAAATAATTACGAGAGTGTACCAGCCAAGAATTCGAAATAATTGCTTTAATATTCGCTAAGATAAATTTATAAATTTAATTTTTACATGAAGAATTATATTTTACCTGGATATTTTTATTATTTTCAAAGATTATTGTGATATTGCATTAGAGATAGCGGATCTTGCTGATAAGATTGCATGTTAAAATAATCCTGATATGCTCCTTCAAATTGTTGCAGAATTGGTTGCGATTGCAGCTGTTGCGAGATATTTGATTTTTGTTCTTGTTGAATCGCTTGTTGAATCATATCGATTCCCGAATCATTTATTGCGGTCGTAGATGAAGAAACGTCATTTTGTGATTCACTTTTCAGCTTCTTATTTTTCATTCGCCGATTCTGAAACCAAATTTTGATTTGCCTTTCTGTCAAATGTAGTTGTTGAGAGAGCTCTTCACGACGCTGCTTCGAGACATATTGATGGGTATAGAATTCTTTCTCTAATTCTAAAGTCTGTTCCCGTGTATAGGTCTGCCTTGTGCGTTTTTGTTCGATTCCAGTTACTTGATTTGAAACTATAACATATATATGTGTGATGTTACAAATTATGTGTGTGACTTATATATATTATATATATATATATATATATATATATATTAAAATTAATAATATATATACATATTATATATATATATATATATGTGTGTGTGTGTGTGTATTAAAATTAAATAATAATTTGATATTATAATTTGATATAGTTGCTAAATATTTTCCACGTCATTTCCATTATTTTTTGTATAAATACAAAATAGATATGAAAAATGGAAACTACAAGTTATTTATAAAACACGAATTTTGTTGCTTCTTGTATAATCATATATATGCAACACACACTATATTATAGTGACTTACCGTTAGTCCTATTTACCCATGCAAACGATGGAAGGCTTTCGTGAGGAGAAAATCTGTGTCTGTTATTTATATCTCTGTGTCTATTTCTTGGTTTGTTATCGTTGTTGTTATTACAATTCGTTTCCTGTTGCAAGTATGTGTTTTGGAGATGTAAGGCCTGCATTCTTGATTGCAGTCTTCGACTTGACGTGGAAATCGGAGTATTGCAACTGCCGGCATGATCGGTGTAATTTTGTTCATAAGGAATTTGCTGTTGCCGATATGCCTCCTGTGCGTTGAATTGGTTCTCGGCAATCGGCGATATTTGACTAGATGATGAGGACGAGAACGTTTCCCAATCGCGCGAAACGATTAGATTATTAGTACTGATAGTCGGTGAATAATTGTCTGGATTTGTATAGTAATTTGCTGCTGGAGGTTTCCTATCATGCGTTAAAGCCGTCCTCAGTATGGATGATTTTTCTTCAAATCGTTGCACAGGATGGAATAAGTTTAGGGGTATTTGTTGGCTTGGCGGCTTCTGAAGTGTATGGTACGATGGTTCATTAAGTGTATGTGTTGGCGGATGTGTTGACTGATATGGTGGATGATGTAGCGAATCATGTATCGACTGTTGAAATGACTGAAGTGACTCGTTTTGAAATGTGAAAGAGAGATCTTCCTTCCTCAAACAATTTTCCCAATAGTTGTTCGGGTTTGACATATTGTTATATAAATATATATATATATATATAATATCACAGTAATTTGCAAACGTGCGCGCGCGTATACACGCGCACACACATTACACGCATACACGCATTACACGCGCACTATACATTATTACACACGCCCACGAGTACGCATAAATGCTTTCGTTTTTATCCACGAAATTGAGTTTACTGCGACAAATTTATTTCGATCACTGGTACACTGAAATCACATTATTGTCACGAATAACCAGGTGAACTTGATGCAGAGTTTTATATTCACACGTTTAGTCCGCACGCGTCGATACCGAAAGCTACGTAAAAACTGATACTGCAGTCTCTTTTCTTTTTGGTACGGTACACAGTGTAACCGAACCGAAAAGCAAATGGTTTGCTCGTCTGGTTTCCCGTAGCTTTCAGGCTTGTCTTTTCGTCCTAAAAGGGAAGAGGGAAGAGGCGGGGGTTACGCTATACCGAAAATCACAAACGAACTTGCACTATAACACTGCACTACGCAGAATAGGGTCCTTTGGCGAAGGTGGGGGGGCATGAGCTACCCTTGGCAAAAGTCCGTACGGTCTCTCGGTTGGCCTCTATCCGAGGTATCGCAGGGGGGCTCAGCCTCTGTCAGCTGCCTCTTCATTCACTGTTAAGGCCACCCCCGAATATACATTCGATTTTTGATCTGCTGCTCGTGCCACAGTCCCCTCCCACTATTAATACTATTGACACAAAATCTACGTTGGCTTCCCCACCTTCCTCCCCCTTTCCAACGCGACCTCGCACAATGCACGGTGCCATGTGCACGTATGGGACATCTTTGCTCGCAGGGTCGTTGATCCTGCACACGTCGATTTGAAATTGGCTCTCGCCATTTCTATAAGATAAATTTCTTCATTAGTTAATTTTTTTCTGCTAAAGTAATCTTGAGATATCTTCTTTCCTTTTTATAGTTCGATTCTGGCTCGATTTTCTTTCCTTTTGATTAAAAAATTGCGCACACATATACTCTCGATTCTATACCTTGATTATAATTTAAAAATTAGAGCACTAACGGGTATAACGAATGTAAACGTACCTCTATATTTATCGGTTAATCAGGTTACGAAAACAAGTCTTTAACCAAGAGATCACTGTAAACGCGTTACCAATATTTACAAATATACTTAGCGAAATGATTCTGTCGATCACAAAGTCGTGATTTAAACAGGAAAGTACTAGGATGCTTAAGTGAGACGTATTGATTAAACACGATGGACAAGGCGTCACGATAGGATTAAAAGAACAGTTCGAGAATAATTATCCTTAACGGAAGATAATAGACGGCCTCACGGACAAACTATAAATAGCAAAGAGCGTCCGAAAAAAAGTGATTAATGATGCGTTCGAAGTGGTGACCAAACCTACGGGGATTCTAAACGGCTGAACGGACACGCGTCTGCACGCGCACACACGTAACACGCGTTACACACGTATGCGGTCGAGTTTAGGCATACATGGCGAATCGGAGGATGTCAGAAGAACGCCTCGCGCTCTCACGCGCATGGATGCGAAATGCGTTCTGCGTTAGCCGATAGCAATAAATAATAATCCTCGATGGCCGATACTTGTGGGAAGGGACGAGGGTTCCGGAGTTGGGAGCATTTCCTAATGATTTTAGCTATACTGACTTTATTTTCGCTGGCAACACCGATACGTTATGTAAGAGAAAAGAAAATTAAAACATAAAAATTATCGTTATTAAATAATTTAATTTTTTTTAATTGCTACATTTGCTTGCAATAAATTATGTTACATATACATTTATATTTTTTGAGAGCATTTCCTAATATATATAATTTTTGAGAGTATTTCCTAATAATTTTAGCTATACTGACCTTATTTTCGCTGGCAACACCGATGTATAATACATTATATAAGAGAGAAGAAAATTAAAATACAAAAATTTATCATTATTAAATTAATTTTCGCCCCGATATTTTTCCTGTCTACATCTCTCCAGGGGGGTAAAAGGGTTGTTATAGAAGTCTCAAACCAAGAGAATCTATAACTTGGCATATGTGCATATGTCTTAAAAAAATGTTTCGCGAACAATTAATGTTTGTAAAAATTTACGCATTGCCATCCGCGTTTGTTGGGCTCTTAGTGCTCGTTACTTAATTATTATGTTGATTAAATTAATTATTATTAAATAATTTAATTTTTTTTTAATTGTTACATTTGTTTGCAATAAATTATGTTATATATACATTTATATTTTTACGCGAGAGAAATATATTTCGTGATTAATATAATTTCTAAACTTTTTTTTATTTTGTATTAGATTGCATCGTCTTGTGAGGTCTTGTCTTGGACACGGTGGACATTAATAATGACCTGAACGACAGCCTTGAAATTTTCCAAATGTGTCTTTATTTCTTATGAGTCTCTTCCCTAGCTTATAATCAAAATATACATTTTTATAAGTGTTATATTTTTTTCTATTTTACGAAAAAAATACAGTTTACGTTTATTTCTTATTTTAAGCTATACCAGGTAATCTTTACAACGTGTCGTATGTCTGCCCATTGATCTAATAATGAAACGGTCTATTGTCGGCAAATACAAAGCCAAGTTCAAGGTCTAAGGACGAAGCTAAGAATTTTCATAGAAAAAGATCTGACTGTTCTTGATGACAATAAGTTGTAAAACTTTCACTTTAAACGAAGCAAATAACCGGAACTAATATAATAGACCTTGGTCGAGAATTTTTGAACTGAAACCTTATTTTTAGTTGCTCCAACGTATCTTTTAACCTACATTTACGCAACATATCCCAAATTTTACAAATAACTTATAGAGACGATAAACTTATAAAAATTATTTTTAACAGTTAGAAAAAACAATTTGTATGCAAGCTAGCTATTTTAATTTTAAGTTAAAATATATGTATTATATATAATATAATATGCAATATATACATATGTTATAATATATTATATACATATATTATATTAATTATATAATAATTTAATTTTATCATTATATTTAATTATATCATTATATTATATAATATAAAATATATACATATATTATAATATATACATATATTATATTAATTATATATACATATATTGCGCGTATAAAAATTAAAAATCTTTATAACAGATAAAACACATACAGGATGCAAGAAACGATTTTATATTAATTGTTAGTTAATGTATTAGATCATAGATTCGCATTGTATAAAATGGTAACATCTCGTAGAGTAACATATGTGCCTATGTATGTGCCTCCCTGTTCGATTCTCCACCATATGAGCAACAATCGACGTAAGGAATTTTCGTTACTGGAAGAGGCGACATTTGTAGCCATTTGGGAAAATTGGGAGTATCGGGATCAAGCCAGACGGCATCTATTATTGTGCGATTGATTTATATATTTCATTTGCGGTGTATGTCGTATCATGACAAATTACTTGCATCCATATGTGATTTTATATTAACTACAATAATACAAAATTTATTGTAAAATTTCATTAATTTGTTTAGCTTCACAAATTAGATTGAGATATATCTGTAAAGAATTTAATAGAATAGTTTTTGAACTCATTTTTAATCATAATTTTCTTTGATTACGTCAATGATTACAGAAATAATTTGCATTGTTTGTAATTTCCTAAATATTGATTACATATAATACGTATCAATAGGGATAGAATAAAGCGAGCATTTTAGAAATGAGACATAATACGACAAAAACGATAGGATATTTTACTAACAATTTCATGCGTAATTAATAATAGCACTAAACGTCATGTTTCTTTTTTTACGTTAATTGATGCTTGTCTTTCATCATTCATCAAAAAGTAAACTCTTAACATGTCGTGGATCTCTTTATATGCCTCTTACTTTGCATACGTTGTCAACATCGTAGGATGCTTTCTTAATCGAGCGTTTTTAAGCAGATCAGGAAATCTCTTTTTAGTGTCTGACTGATAACTTTACACTCTAGAGAAATAAAAGAGGCAATAATCCCTCGATCTTTCTTTCATATTTTATTGATTTCATGTCGTATTTTTATCAGACTATCTTGCTACAAAATAAAAAATTTTTCGAGAAAAAATAAACTGTACGGGTAAATTATAAATATAGATGCTGACAAATTTTTTTATTTTTTCTCCAAACTAAGGAAGTGGATCAATTCAAAATAAATAAATAAATAAATAGCTATTGCAGTAGAATATTTTTTTATTCAAGTTTAATCTAGAGAAAACATGATATAATACATTTTAATATTTGGAATACATCATTAATAACATGAAATGTATGAGAAATGTTAGGATTGACATAAAATGAGCACACATTATATTTGTTTTCTCAGAATCATTAATAATTATTTCATTTCTAATTATATTATACGTTTCCCTCGAAATAGCCCTAAGTGTTTTCATAAGAAAATCAGACTAGACGCGGATGAAAAAAATCTTTATCTTCAGACGATTAACGAAGAATCGATTCAATAAAAGAAAACATTCGTACGCCAGATATAATGAAAAAAATCTTCCGTATAAAGTGTACTTTGAATGGGACGGGGAGGGATTATCGATCCAGCGTTTGTTTGCGTAACGTGTTTACTTCTCGCCGCGGATATCTTCCCTCCTCGCGCTACTCGGCCGGGGCACCCTCGGCGACGAGCCGAACTCAGCAGGGATGGATCCACGGTGGTAGGAAGGAATGGCAGCGAAAAGAGACGCAAGAAGGGGGGGGGAGGACGGAGAGAGGACGTTGGAAATATCATTTATCACGGCCAGGACTGTCAATCTCCGCCGCATTGATACGATGATAGTCCGCCGACGTCGCGATGCTTCGCTAGCTGCTCATCCGCCGTGGAACCGCCGACGTTTCTCGTTGGGTGTGCGTAGGATGTCCCGTCATAACGTTGTAAATTAAAGCGATGCACGCTCCATCATTAATACGACATTTATATCTATTCTAATTATGTATATTAGTATAATTTTAATCGGAGATTAATATTGCACGCATGGGAGATACTTTCTAAATTAAATTATGATTCAGTGGCAGATAAATATATTTGGAAAAAGATTAAAAAGAATTTAATGCGAACAATTCTAAGT